TTGTTCAGTCTGCCCCTGCAGAGCCCCGCATGCAGGGGTAAGGCATTCTACACCGAAAGGTTGCCATCTTCCCGGTGGCTCCGTCCACGACCATATAACGTCTGGTCATTCACCTCTCGGCACGGGTCGCGTGACACCTTAGGTTACGGATTTTTGGAAGGGTTTACTTCCTGGGCGAGGACAGATTTGAAAATAATGATCCCTAGCCCTCGAATACTCTACTAGCGTCAGAATCGGAAAGAAGAAGAGTTGACCAAAGGGGTCGATAGATCGAAAATGGAAGAAAACGAGACAGATCCACCCAAGACAAGTTGAAGAAAGGTGGAATCCGAGCTGGAGAAATCCCAGGGTCGCCATGCCTGCACACCAGATGTGTGACTCCAGAAATATTTTTTATCGAGGATTCCCCCTCTAGATCCGTTGAGTTCTGTAAGAGACAGGTCCGCCACGAGTAGGCACTCAACGATCTTGCCGATGGAGAGGCTATTTGCTTCGAATCACATCGACCTGGAAAAAGAAAGTATTGCTACTTTCCCCGGCGCCCTCACCTTTTTTTATTCAGGCGGTGAGACCGCCCAAGTCCCTAGGACACAACCTAACCTAACCTAACCCAACCTTTTTTTTAATGGAGGAGGAAAATCTTCCAAAGACATAGTGTCGGATTCAAGGGTGATAAAGTCACCGCTCGCCTACCGACTAAAAACCTCCCCCTTTTTGCCCTATTGATCAGCCCGGTATCATCCTCATTGGACATCCATCAAGCTGTTCAAGCATTCGCTGTCTGCCCATTTCTCTAGTTATTCAGACCGTGATTCACTCTTTCTTCGGATTCCTTCATGGACATGACCGACCTGATGAAATCTTGAGTCGTCCTCCATTTATTCCGGTCTTCGCACATCACTCTAGTTAGGTTCTCAGCCGTCAATCGTTCTCCCAGTCTCCTTTCAGCGAGTTGCCTCTCACGAACCCACCTGTCACACACAAACACCGTGTGTTCAGGAGTATCTGTCGCCCCGCAGTACACACATCGATCGTTGACACTCTTTCCAATGCGGCTCGTATAGGACCGAAAAGACCCATGCCCGGTCAAGAATTGTGTCAGCCAATAATCCACAATCCTGAACCCACACATGATCCAAGGCTCGAGGTTTGGGATCAAGCTCTTAGTCCATTGTGCGGTATCTGTGTGTTGCTCCCACCTAGCCTGCCATTTCAGCATGGTTGCCTGTCTCGCCGTCAACTTGTTCGTACCATTATTGAAGATATCTGCTCTTTCCTGGATTAGGAGATCCAGGGGAATGACTCCTGTTATCACATACAATCCTTCAGTCGCAGCTGTCCGATACGCGCTGGCGATCCGAAGCAGCATCTGACGTTGGATCTTAGTGACCATCCTTTTGTACAGGTCCACGCGCATGGATCCATGCCAGATGGGAGCCCCATACGTGAGGACCGACTGGGCTACCCCGTTGAGAACGTTTCTCCGTTGGCTCCCCATGCCCTTGATATTCGGCATTATCCGCCCCAGTGCAGCAGTTAGAATCCCGGCTTTCCTAACTACCTCCCTCACGTGGTGTCCGAAATAACATTCATCGTCGATCCAGATACCTAGATATTTTATGTGCCTAGTTGGATGCACATCCCTCCCCCTGACAGTAAAGCTTATTCCATTCCTTCTCCTAGCTCACACATCTCCTTCCACTTTCTTCTTTTCGCTGGTTTGATGCATCCTTTGTACCTGGATTTAGCTTCCTTGTATTCTTCGGCAAGTTGTACTGTTTCCTCGCCCGCTGCTCTTCTTCTGGTGAGTAACCTGCGTTTGGCGTTACATTCCGCCCTGAGGGCTTCCACTTCGGCTCCCCACCAGTAAGGCTGATCTTTATTCCTTTGCATCCCCTCTCTGGCCAAAGCGAAGTTTTGAGCGTTACGGATCTTTTCGACCAGGTTAGCCGCGGTGACGTTTTCACATATCATCTCAAGAGTAGCCCGAAACGTTTTTTTGTCCAGGATAGGTTTACTTCTAAATCCAGGTACTTTCCGTCGCGACTTTCCGTCGATGTGGAAAATGATCTGTCTGTGAAGACTCATCGACTCTTCCTCCAGGACTTCCCAGTTTCTTATCATACCCGCTGCCTCAGACGATGAAAGAGTCAAGTCCAGGTAAGACTTGCTGTCACCCCGCACAAAGGTGGGCCTCAATCCATCATTATGTACCACAAGATTTAGCGCATTGATCCATTCCTCGACGTAGTTAACCCTGGCATCTGCGGCTAACGAACCCCAAGATGGGGACTTGGCATTGAAGTCGCCCACGATTATGGCTTTTTTGCCTTCCGACTTGACATCCCTCATCAAGGCATCCGTGTAAGCTTCGAAACGCTGCAAAGAAATGTTGGGCAACACATAGCAGTTGTATAGCGTCCAATCGCTGAAGAACAACTTGACGAAGCCATCGTGTCCCCGATGATTCCAGACTCCAATATCTCTGCTTCAACGGAATACCGCTACATCGCAGTTGTTGTCCTTTATCAATTTCTGTTGCCTAGTCAACGTCTTGTTGGGTTCTTGGAACAGGATGATATCAGCGTCAAACCTGTCGGCAGTCGCGATGGCAACGTCATGGGCAGCACTTGCTCGCTCCACGTTGATCTGCAGGATTCGCATTACACAGCAGGTGTTGCTTCGCCGCCCTGTCTTCTCGCCTTGATATCCCTGTCTCTTTTTTCTACAAGCTTGCGATATTGCGGACAACGCATCTGGTCCGCCCTGTGTCTCTCCTGTCAGCAGCTTGTCATGCAATGCTTTGAGCGGTCCTCTCCCTTGCATTCTCCCCTTCTGTGGCCAAAGCCCAAACAGCGGAAGCATCTGAGGATGTTAATTTTCTCCCTTACTCTGCAAGGGACCCAACCCACTCTGACCGTTCCTAGTCTGGTGAGTTCTTCCTCTCGCCGTCTTATTGATGTTCTTTATCTGGGCTCCGGTTCTTGATATGTTCGTGTTCTGCTTCATCTCCCTCAAGGCCTCAGTGTAGTTTTTGCCCTCCATTTTGATCACAATCTTCTCGGTCATCCTGCCTAATCTGGGCCATTGCCTTGCCCCTCTCTCTTCTAGCATGGTCTCTTTTTTTTGCAAGTGACAGTGATCCCTGCTCCACTGTCGTGGAAGACGCTCTCAGTACACTTCCTGAGGTAGCCGTCATCGTGCTGTTCCGCCATAGCTATTTGAAACTTCCGCTTTCCCTCTGTTAAGGATGGCGCTTCTACCCTGAGCTTTCTCATACTCTCATACAGGTTGGCCACGTCGCCACCCCCTCCTGTTACACCGGTCTTCAGTGGTACAATATAGAGGGTGTTGCTTACAATCTCGCTTGTGCCCTTACTGGTGAAGGTCTTTTTGTCACATTTCACAAATTCCATATTGTCCATATGTTCGTTCAGGAGGTCTACCAGGTTGGGAGACCTCGCTCGGACCTGATCAATTATCACTCCTTCTCGAGCTATCTTCGGGACCAGCAGCAGAACCAGGTCTTGCCTGCCCTTCCTGCGCTCTCTCAAGTCATGGCTCTCTTTGGTTGTTGCATATAAGTTTTCCGGCCAGGATTGATCGATGACCTGGCGAAGTCCAGGCCAGCCCTCGTAGCCCTGCATTCCTTCCAGGTGTAGCCTTACCTTTTCATCCTTGTTATTTTCCATTTCTCTCCACTCGTTGTCTAGAGTCGCTTCATCCACTTGAGTAGCCATAGTCTTAGTAGATGCCTCAGTTTGGCATCCGCTGTCCTTACAGCCTCCCCGTCCCACTTTCACAGCAGGCTCCGTGCGCCTCCTCCACTCTCATGGCCACCTTTTTTAGCATCATGACTGTCTCCTTGATCTCTTTCTTGGTGTTGGTATGATCCTTTACGAGTTTCGACAAGCTCGATATTCCATTCATTATCTGAGTGAGACAGTTTTGGTTTATTTTTACCAGTTCTTTTCTTGGGCTCTTTTTATTTGGGGAACCACCCCACTTTCTTTTTTCCATCTCTGGCTCCGGCGACTTCCAGAACAGCAAGTCCTTCAGATCTTGGTTCTCCAGATCGCTCTTCTCCTCATCGGAGATCTCAACCAAAGTGTGAACACGCCCAAGTGTTCAAAAATCTGGCTCTCCCATATCTTCTTCTCCTCCCATCCCTGCACACCAGGTGTGTGTCTCCAGGAGGTTATTTATCGAGTGTACCCCCTTTACATCCGTTGAGTTCTGTAAGAGACAGTCCGGCCACGAGTAGGCACCCAACGGTCTTGCCAGTGGAGAGGTTGTTCGTCTCCGCATCACACCAGCCTGGGAAAAGTAAGTGTTGCCGTTTACCTCGATACATCCACCTTTTTTTTGTAGCCGTGGTTTTATCCGAAGTCCCTCGGACCAACCTAACCTAACCTAACCTAACCTTTTTTTTTGGTGGGTGGAAACCTTTTATAGGCACCATGAGCTGGTTTCAATTGCTGCATGGTAGTGCCGAAATGGTACAGTTAACCTGTCCATACCAGCTAAAACCACCCTATCTGCGAAGTCACCCGGAACCGTCCGCGAGGACTTAGCATCAGATGACTTCCTTTTGTCTCCTTGTGTCTATTCTTTCATTACTCAATTATTATGATGCCTCTTTTCTGCATTTCCAGCTCTTCCTTCTCCTTAGTCTTCATGATATCCCGAAAAAACGTTTTTACAATTTTCCAGTGTTCTCTACTCTTTATAATGTACTCTTTTATATTATTTATTGTGAGTTTCGTGCCAATCTCACTATCTGCTCTGTTACCAGGTTCCTTTCTCAACGAGTTGTTTATTTGGCTCTCCGGCCACCAGCACGTCCACTTCATTCTCCATTGCGCTTGCTAGTGCGAAATCATGAGCATTTCTGGGTCTATTTAGATTTGTCTGTAATATTTTCAGTTTGTTTAGCTCGGTTCATCGTCGAGCAGCTCCACTCTAGGTCTAAGTTCACTTTTCTTGGAAGCAGTAATATTTTAATTGTCTATGGCATCTAACGTCATCTGTGCTTCTCCGATCTTGTCTGAGAAATCTTTCAGATATTGGTCCATATCTTTCGGGTGTTCCTCCTTTTCGGTGTGCTTTCCTCCTAGCTCCTGGTCTGGCATTTCCTCAGGTTTCTCTGCCTTCTTTTTCACCAGATCCGTTATATTAATTTTCCTTGCACCTCTCCAGGTCTTCTGTTTTCGCTCGTCTCTCCTGGCTATAGTCAGTGCGTTCTTAAATTCCGGACACTTCATCGTGCCCGCTTTGTGTCCTTTTGTTCTGCAGACAGGGCAGGCCTCTTTATTGTTGCACTCTTTGAGATGATACCCCTCCTCTCCACATTTATAACAATGCTTTGCCAGGTTTGGTCCCCTGCACTTGCTCGACGTGTGGCCGTATTTCGAGCACTGGTAGCACCTGTCGACTTTGAGTCGCCTTTCTATCCAACACCTCACAATACCCACCCGCAGATACTCGTCCTCAATCAATATGCTCGCGTCGTCTTTTCCTAGTGTCACGGTGGCCGCCATAGTGCCGTTGTTTTGGGGGCGAAGGTCGCTAATTTTCATACAGCTTTCGTCCCAGTGTCCCAATCTTTTTGTTATTGCCTCTTCCAGTTCATTTTTTTTCAGACTCCATGTCCATACCTCTTATGTGGAGCACCGTTCTCTGGCTAGTGTTGTCTAATTGTCGAACTTTCAGGTTGTCATCCTCCCTAAGAGCTTTTTGTAGGTCTGTTAGAGTCTGTTCGTCTCGGTCTAGTTATTAAGAGCTTCTGTTCTTTTGTGCTCTTCATACTCCTGATTGCCGTCGATGCTGGATTTTCCTTCACTATGTCCTTACATCTTGTTAATATGTCTTTATAGGAGAGGCCTCCTTGGTTAATAAGGAGCCCGTAGGTGGTTGATTGCTTCCTTCTTTCCGGTTTGGTCATCGAGCATACTCGGACTCTGGTTTTAGAGCCATGAAATACTGCCTCCACTAATTTCCGTAGGTCCTCTACCGTTATGTTTTTTAGCTCGTGCATAGCAATGTAGGGGTCTTCTGGAGTCTCATTTAGCAATTGTTGCATTCGCTGCCATATCCCGGCCATTGTTCCGTTGTGCGTAATTTTGATTATTTTTCTTCTTTTTTCCTCATTGATATCTCTGGATCTTATGCGTGTGTGTTGCTCCAGTACTTCGAACTCAGGTCGAACTCAACTTCGACCAGGGCTGGGTACTGGTCCTTAAAAGCGCTTTGTATTCCTGTTTTCATATTAGGATCGTCAGGTTCTACCCATATCACTTTAACCGGCTGTTCGTCCATTTTCAACAGGTTATTATTGATGATTTCTGTGTTCCTGTAGAGATCTTTGGGCTATGGTCTATCCTTGATTTCCATGAAGGATTTTAATGAGACCATTCCTTGTAAGGTTTCGATGGGTTCCTCGGAACTACTTCCATAGGTCTGAGTGGCGATTTCTTTCATTTTCCGCTCCGTCTGCGTATCCGCATCTATATTGATTTTCTCCACTGGTTCGTACCTGTTTCTTTCCAACCATGCAATAACCTACCCCCTTTCAAACGTATTTACGTTTCTTTTCATTTTCATGAGTTGGTCCTTTATGCCTTTTTGTGTGTTGGGGTGTACTGACACCAGTTTCTCCAATTCCATCATATGCACTTCAATGGATTCTATAGCCTCTCTTATGGTGAAAGCCTCGGGGCTTTCTTTTTTCTTATATAACCCACTTTCCAGGTGTGCTACCTCAGTTGCCTTTCTCTTTTTAATCTCCGGCAGTGACGACCGTCTCAGTCTAAACGTCTCCGTTACTTCCGGTACGATGCTTTTGTTAGCTATGCTATGCTTTTGAAGTTTTTTTATCGTTATTTTTTAATTCTTGATACATGTTGTTCCCACGTGCAGCTAGGAAAATAAGCTGTCCGTCCCTGCAGAGCCCCGCGTGCAGGGATAAGGCTAAAGTCCCCACTGGGTCGCCAGGTCCAGTGGGCATCGCTCAAGACACGCCTTGCCCCCCATGCCATGCATCCCTTCGGCGCGATGGTGTTACACCTTGGGATTGGGGGTGGTATCTCTCTTAGTCTGGCTTCTTCCCTTCGACCCGTCCGGCAAGGGTGACCCTATCAGTAGCTACGCTACCTCCGGCATGGCTCTTGGGATCATAAAAGCACACAAGCCCCATCACCACGACAAGGTGGAGACACCGTCGATGGGGAACCTAACCTAACCTGCCTTTTTTCAATCAGTCCTGGTAGTGTCGTGCGCTACTACGACTAAAACCCCCCTTACTTTTCCCCTGGCTGCGGAATCACTATGTCGTTGGTATACGTCAGTGTCAGGGGCTGTTCCTCTCCTTGCTCTTATTCATTTCATTTGTTTTTTTTGCATCTTTTTTTTATTTATTCTTGGGCCTGTCTTTCCCTCTCTTCTCTTTCTTTCGTGGAGAAGACCACCTAACCTAACCTAACAATTAAATAATTCCCAATTATGCCTACCCATACATTAAAAGAGAATCTGTCTTGGAAATGAGTTTGCTTCATCGCATATGGAGCATCTTCCGCCCAGATGTGGTTGTAATACCATTTCTTGAAAAATTAGGCTCATCTGTGAAGAGAATTTTCGATAAAATTTGCGGATGTTGTTCAACTTTTCTTTGAAGCCATTGAGGAAATTCGATATGTGGTTGGAAATCACATGCCTGAACACGCTAAATATGATAAGGATATAATTGCTGTTCGTTTAAAATTCTCATTCATTAGTCAAACATTCAATGTTTGACTAATTCTTCTTGTACTTGTTTCCGGATGTTCAATAATTTCTTCAAGAACTGCCTCCTCCAATTCTACAGTTTTTGTAGTCCGTGGCCGTCCTACTGCAGAATTTTTTTCGAAGCTTCCAGATTCGGAAAGTCGCCGGAAAAGATTCGCAAATGTCGCTGTACAAGGAGTCACGCGCTGGAAATACCTTTTCTGATAGACCCGTCTGGCCTCGTTTGAATTTCCGTCAGCCAAGCCGTGTGAAAAAACCATATTAGCCATTTCAGCATTCGTCGGGCATGGTACCAAAAAATCACTTTATAAACTTCGAACTGTGAATTTGTAAATTAATAGTTAAAAATGTGACAGCAAACTTCTATTTTTATAAACAAACTTTTCATAACCTACTCGATTTATTCAACTTGATCTGCAAGCGGAGAGTGACAAAAATTATTGAAATCAAATTTGGCTATAAAGTAATATGCATCGATATAGAAAATTGTAAATATCTCGAAAAGAATACCTCCAGCGTTGTTGAGGAGGTGTACCTTTTTTACTTGGAAAAGGTGTGGGAGTTAGGTTTTTCATGAAAAGTACCAAAAGTTTACTGTCAAAAAAAATTGGTCAATTTGAAATAAATAATGACAGCTTACGCAGCGGCCCCTAGATGTTACATGGAAATTAATACGAAATTATGATTTCCCACGTCAAAAAAATCCGGGTACCGAATTTTGTGCAAATAACTTATTTTTTGCAAGAGATATTTTCAAAAAGCGAACAAAAAAATTCAATTTCAACATCCAATCAACCGACAACTGCAGTAGCAGAAATTTGGGAAGCTAACCTGAAATGCCATCGGAAAACGAATCCATATGTTTCTAGAAATTATATGAAATCGACAAAGGTTAATGCAGTCAAGCTGCTGGAAAATAATTTCATGAAAATCAAAAGATAAATAGATAAGTACTTTCTGATCATTCCCATATTTATTTCAATTTAAGTGCCACCAATAGACAGCTGTTTCAGCCTATTGGGCATCGTCAGTACCGGGCAGGTGGTCCTCGAGTGAAGACAAAATGTGAAAATCCAGAAAAGTACTTGATAAAAATAACTGCATAAACGCAAGTGGAACATAAGTGGAACCACCTATTGGTGTGACACCCAAGTCAACTTGCCAAGTTTTTATGTCAGTGTTGGTGGTTTGACCAATCAACCGACAACTGCGGTAGCAGAAATTTGGGAAGCTGACCTGAAATGCTTTCGGAAAACGATTCCCAATAGGCTGAAACAGCTGTCTACCAAACTAAAAAGAGATACATCTAAGCTAGTAATTACATAATTGTTAGAAAGTTTCATTTTATTGAATGTGGAGAAAACATCAAAAGAATCTTCAATAAAATATTGGTTATCAAATTCATAAGCTTAAGTTAAAATGTCTGCTAGAAAAGAAGCAAGTTTTTCAGCAATAATGGGTCTAACAGACAGGGTTGGTTTGTGAATTTTAGGTAAAGCATAACATTTGGGTAAAGTCCCAGTATAATTGGTAATACGTTTTTTTTTTGTAATTTCGTTAATCTGATTGACTTCAAATAATTTCCAATTAAATCATTACAATTATGTTGAACGGGTAATGTAGGACCATTTTGTACCATGAACCATGGTACATTTTCCATGATGAATATTTTAGCTGATGTTCACTACATCACTTCCACTATCACAAATGATTTAAAAAAACCATAGTAGCACGATCTACTAATATTATTACTGATTTTATTACTTCCAAAAATCATATTAACAACAATTTTTTCCAAAACGTTTTCTTAAAAACTGAACGTTTCTTAAAAAATAATTCATACCTCATAATTACTGTCTGATAAAGGCAATGTCACTATGATACTTGACCGTGACCAGTATATTAACCTTTCTACAAACCTTATTGAAAGTTGTGATTTTTACTCACAAGTGAGTAAAGATCCCAACTTTTCACTCTTTCCTACTTTGCGAACTGAGGTAAACACTTTGACTTTGTCTCCAATGTTAAATTCTAAATGACGATGCTTGTCGTCGTATCTTTCCTTGTCTAGTCCTTGCCTTTCACGATATTTTTAATCGCAGAGCAAGTGCTCTTTATCTTATTTGCTGGGCATCTGCCGGATTCAAGGTTGACATCAGGTTAGCTTCGGTTGGAAGAATGGGTTCTCTGGCATATACTAACCTGGAAAGTGAATATTTAGTTGTATCTTGTCTTGCAGTGTTGTATGCAAAAGTCACATTATGCATTCATCCCAGTCGGTTTGTTCAGTGTTGGTGTACATTGACAGCATGTTTGCCAAACTACCATTGAATCGCTCTACCAGCCCATTGCAACTAGGGTGGTATGCTGTTGTGTATTGGTTGACAGTTCCCATTATGACTAGTAATTTTTGTACAAGTTGTGACATAAAGGTTTTTCCGCGATCGCTCAATTAGTGTCTTGGTGAACCATGACTGATAATTATTTTCTCTAGAATGAATTTTGCAACTGGACCTGCTTTTCCATTAGGCAAGGCTTCTGCCTCTGCTCATCACTATCATCCTATTCCCATTTCTACTTTTGTGGAAAGGGCCTAACAGGTCTATTCGCACTTTATCAAAAGGGGATTGGCTGTAAAACGCCTGCTGGTTTTTTAGTCTAACCAATCAACAAGTTCGAAAACATGAAAAATAGAGATAAAGGTCCTAAAAATATGAGCGATAGCTCATTCGATTCGGAATCACCTCTAGAAAAATGT